CTTGATGGTAATTGCAATCTTTGATTCCTTATCCAGCAGGCTAACTGTGACACCCGGGTTTAGGATTGTAAACATTTCTGAATCTAGCCACTGATTGGCGGGGCCTACCTCTTGCTGAACACGGAAAGCTTGTCCTGGTATTGTGCTTGCGATCCAGGTCGCCCAATCGCCCCAATCTCATTTGTGCGATCCTCTCAACAACTGTGTCCACTGTTGCGGTATGGAGATAAGGATGTCATTTAAGTTTTCCGTGAGCCTATGACACCCTTTCATCGTAGTTCTTAATTCTCTTCCCGTTTTCCATCAATTATCACTTAGAGACCATAAGTGCTTGATTTGCCAAACTCCGTGTTCCAACCAATTACCCCATTTAGCGTCATTTGCTGTTAGCGTCCTTGGCTTCCCTTGGGAGTCCTTCAACCAAGGGTTACAAAACAGGGGTTGTCTGAGGACTTCTTCCTTTGATCTAGGTTTCCTTACTCTTGCCGGGAATATTTCCTCCCATATCTTGAGGATTTGGGCCCAATACAAAGAGGTGGATGTCCCCTCCTCGCCCCCCTGTTCTCTTGTTCTACCCTTCTTTGCCCACCCTTTGCAGAATATCCAGAATGTACCTTCCATATTTGGAGGAGTTGTGTACCTGGACATCCCCCGTATGTGTTCTAGGACTAAAGGAACCCAACGTAAGTGGGGTTGCGTGACCAATTTGATGACCCATTTAGATTGAAGTGCCTTAATCTGTTGTTCGGGGTCCAGGATACCCAATCCCCCCTGATTTTTTGTTTGTATTACATGCCTCCATGCTACCTTTGATATGAAATTGGTCTTAGTTGGGTTTCCTGTCCACAGATAGGCTGCCGCTACCCTTCGAAGTTTTCGAAGTGAGTGCACAGGTGGTGACCACATTGTTCCCGCATACCATAATATGGAAAAGATAGAGGCATTGAGAACCAAAGCCCTCCCAAATAGTGAAGTGTATATATTTGACCAAGCGTCCATCTTCGCTAGCATTTTGGTCATTTGTTCTGGAGCCATGGAATGATGGGGGCCCGTGTCCGTTAGTCTGATCCCCAAGTGTCTCAGTGGCTGGTGTGGAGGCATCCAATCCATATTATCCATTTACGTTTCTCTGCAGGCATCAAGTCTGCTCCGTTCTTTATGAAATTAAAGACTATCACGTGTCTTTCATGGAGTTCGTCGAGTTTTGGGACTTTCCCGTCTGGGTATTTCCAAATTACTGTTTCCTCCTCCTTCCCCTCCGAGTTCGGGTGTTTTTCTATCACCATTTCTCCCTGCACTTTGGTCTTCTCAATTAAAAATTTCAAGGCATCGTTTTCAATGATTCGGTCGATGGTTTGTTCGTTTGAGACGATCGAGCATATGTAGCCATTGATTGCTGTGTTTGTTTGAAAATGGCTGGGGGCTTGCCAACCCCAGGGCTCTGCATCTCCGCCCCTCTCACACTTGGTGACGCGAGTATCCAAATTGGTCTGAGGTTGAATGAGGCCACGCCGTGTGGTGGGTATAGGTGGATTTGATAGGGGGTGTGCAGGAAACAGATGAGGGGGGTATTGACGAAATGTCGTAGTTAATGATAAGAAATACCTTGTCTACGCCTAATCAAATTTACCTTCCCTCGGTGGGGGCAGATTGCAGAGGGGAACCGGATAGGGGGAGTGAAGCAGACAGGGGGGGGTGAGAAGTGATTGAGTTGGGTAGGAAAAGGTGGGGGTTGGGGATGAAATGTTCGTGAAAAAGATAGTTGACGATTAAAGGAGAGAGGTGAGGGTAAATTGCAGCGGGAATAAGGGTAGGGGGGTGAATTAGTCCTCCACAAATCATAACAAGCCACCCATAACGAAAAAGTACAGATATTAGATTAGACAATATGATGGAAAATGCAAGGTTGGCCATGTTTGTGTGGTACAGCGCCAAGTGCCCACACACCCGTCTGCCGCCGAAGTGACGCACTTGCACATATACATATATGTATTTGATGCATAAAAGGGTGGAGGGCAAGAAGGAACTTACATAAGACAGAGGACTCCACCAGCAATAAAGCACCGACCCCATCCGCCATAGGTCTGAAAAACTTGGAGAGCCCTCCACGTCGGCCCACAAAACCACAAAACAGCATTAACTCAAATGGCTCCACTAACAATGAAGCACCGACCACACGTGCCAATGGTCCAAAAGAAAATTCTTAGAGCCCTCTGCGACGACCTACAACGCCACCACAAATCAAAGAATACACTGCAGGACCTCTACGCAACACCAGGAGTGTCATGAACCTCCCCCTGCTGTGCAACCTGCGCAACCTGCGGAATCGGATGATGTCCTAGTGCCACAGCGAGGTCACTGCATGTGGCATACTGCGTAGCCACACGGGCCCTGCAGGGCCCGTCCCGGACATTCAGCCTAAAAGCCTAAAACTTAGGGCTTACAGGCCCCGTTCGTTTCAGCCTGGATGCAGAAAAACGAGGGCCTGCAGGCCCTACCTCGTTTCAGCCTATTTCTGGGTCTTTTCAGACCCAGAGTTTTCAGCCTGAAACGGAGGGCCATTTTCAGGCCCTCATTGTTTCGACCTACCCCTAAGACTCAGGCACGGAAACAGGGATGCGGAACAGGCCCAAAATAGCCTGTTCCTCACGTGCTCGAGCAGGAGCTGCAGCTGCAGCCCCTGCCTCCCTTCGGCAGGCTCAAGAGGCACACCCGTAGTACATAGGAGATTCCCATGCACTTCACGGGTAGGTAGTGTTCAGTAGGCACGAGTAGTCTTCAGGATTCTGCCGCAGCACTCAGGAGGAGCGCTGCAGTAGTCTTCAGCGCTAGGCAGTAGTGGTAGCGCTAGCTGTAGTCTTCGGCGCTGGGGGCCATAGCTGTAGCTGTAGTCTTCAGCGCTGGGCGCTGGTAGGTAGTAGATCGTAGAGTGGGAGAGAGACTGGCGGAGGCCAGTGTTACTTACCTGTGGCGCCATCGCTCCAGCTCCATCTTCGTGGTACCTGCATCAAGGCGCCAACTTCACAGG